TTCCTTCCTTCCTTCCTTCCTTCCTTCCTTCCTTCCTTCCTTCCTTCTTAAAGTAATGCCATGCCTTTCTTTTCTTCACCTTCTTTAAAAAACATCTCTGTGACTCAAGGAGAATCACATTATGGTGATTCACAATTGAGAAAATTGAGCAATTCAAAGAGGTCCTTCAGAAAGAGGCCTGCTGTTCAGCAGTAGCTCCCTGAGGTCCTTCATTCTCAGGTGAGGAATCTTTGTTATTAGTAACTTATTTACAAAGCACTCATTAGATCCTGGTGTACTGGTGCATTATCTCATTTAATCCTCACTGTGACCCAGTGAGGTAGAGACTCTTACCTGTACATTTGTACAGAGGAGAAAAGTCAGACATGGAGAGGTAACGTTGACTTTCCCAAGGCACACTGCTAAGAATGAGCACACTTGCATGAGTTGCTTTCCCTAGAAATTAAATGCATTCACAAATGAATGAGACCTCCTTGTACTTGGACTAACCCAGCTAAAGGAAGCAGAGTAAGCAGTGGCCTTGTCAGCATGCTAAGAAGACTAAGTAAAAGAGGCTCCTGCTAATATAACCCGCCCCCCCCTCCACCACCACCACCAACAAGCTTTCATTGATGTGATCACTCAGTCCTTTGAGTTGAGAAGTGGATTATACACAGTAAGGTGTGTAAGGGAGGCTCGACTGTCAATGTAGCACACTCCAATTCTGGGGTTGTTTCCTACCTATGTCACTTAAAATCTTATTTAGGCCCTGGTTGTTGTATCTTTACATTGGGAATAATTATTATTATTGAAAGCATAAAGGCCAAGGTGCTTTAAAAACCCGGTGCATTATGCCAATATCATATATGAATGGTGAGGTATTTAGAGTATGTTTATATCTTATGCAGGGAGTAGATTCCATGTCAGGATGTGAGAAGGCAGAAATCATGTGTAACCTCACTCCATGCTTCCAATCTTTTAGGGGTCAGAGTTTTCATAGAAAACAATAATAATGATAGGTCACACTGGACATCCAACTGAGTGATGTTTACTAGATAAAACCTTACAAATATAAGCTGAATACCATCCAGTATCTCTTTGCCCCTTGAGATATAGGGGAAAAATTTTGTACTGATTCAAGTTCAAAGATCTCTTCAGGAACCTAAAAAATTCCTGGAGCACTGATGCTCTTTTTATTTTTTATTTTTTCTTGTAATAGTTTTATTTATTTTTCATTTTTTAAGTATACTTTATTGTCAAGTTAGCTAACATGCAGCGTTTACAGCGTGCTCTTTGGGAGTAGATTCCCATGATTCATCACTTATATACAACACCCAGTGCTCATCCCAACAAGTGCCCTTCTCAAAGCCCATCATCCACTGACACTGTTTTTAAATAACAGCTCTGTTGAGAGAGGATTCATATACCATAAAGCTCACCTTTTAAAATTGTACAATATAGTGGATTTCAGTATATTCACAGAGTTGTGCATCCACTCACTAATTCCAGAATATTTTCATTATCCCCAAAAGAAACCCAGTACCAGTGAGAAGTCAGTCTCCATTTACCCTTACCTCAGCCCTTGGCAAACCCTAATCTATGTTCTGTCTCTATAGATTTGCCTATTCTGAATATTTCATACACATGGAATCATAGATGCAGCCTTATGTGTCTGGCTTCTTGCACTTTACCAAAACATTGCCAAGATTTATTTATGTTACAGCCTGTGTCAAAATCTCTTTCCTTCTCATGGCTGAATAATATTCCATTGTATGGTACTCCACATCAATTGATGGGCATTTGGATTGTTTCCATTCTTTATAATGAATAATGCTGATACCAACATGTACATGCAAGTTTTTGCATGAACATACGTTTTCAGTTCTCTTGGGCATATACGTAGGAAAGGAGTTGCCGAGACCTACGGTGATTCTGTTGAACACTTTGAGAACCTGCCTCCAAAGTGGCTACGCTAGTTTACATTCCTACCAATAACGTAGGAGGATTTTAGTTTCTTCACATACTTGCCATCAATTGTTATTGTCTCCTTTCTTGGTTATAACCTCCTAGCGGGTGTGAAATGGTATCTTATTGTACTTTTGATTTGTATTTCCCTAGAGACTAATAATGTTGAGTGTCTTTTCATGTACTTTATTTGCCATTTGTCTGTCTTCCTTGGAGAAATGTCTGTTCAAATCCTGTTAACATTTTTAATTGGGTTTCCATTTTATTGAGATGCAAGAGTTCTTTATATATTATGGATACAAATTCTTTTTTTTTTTTTTTTTTAATTTTGTTTTTCAACGTTTATTTATTTTTGGGACAGAGAGAGACAGAGCATGAACAGGGGAGGGGCAGAGAGAGAGGGAGTCACAGAATCGGAAACAGGCTCCAGGCTCCGAGCCATCAGCCCAGAGCCCGATGCGGGGCTCGAACTCACAGACCGCGAGATCGTGACCTGGCTGAAGTCGGACGCTTAACCGACTGCGCCACCCAGGCGCCCCTGGATACAAATTCTTAATCAGATGTATGATTTGAAAACTTTTCTCTCATTCTGTGGGTGTCTTTATACTGTCTTAATGGTGTTCTTTGGTGCAAAACATTTTTAATTTTGATGAAGTCCAATTTAGTTTTTACTTTTGTCACCTGTGTGAAAGTTACATTTTCTTCTAAGAGTTTTATAGTGTTAGCTATTATGTTTAGGTCTTAGTCCATTTTGAGTTAATTTTTTCTATATACAGAGATTCTACTAATGCTTTGATACCTTTGTCTTTGGGCTCCTACTTCAGTCCATAATGTCCCCGTTCTCACACCAACACACAGGAAAACCAGGCCCTTCCTTGATTTCTATGCACATATACAGACACACACACATACCCAAACTCCTCTTCCATAAAACACCCCTGGGATAAACTTCACAGAAATTTTAGTAGTCACATGATATATCAGATGAACAACCTAATATCACATTTTAGACATCTCTAAGCTTCAATGTTATTTTAGCTGACGGCTGTTTCACTGTTAATTATCCCCAGTACAATCCACTTACTAAATGGTTCTTTTCTTCAATTCAGTCCTCTCTCTCACCTGCTCTTCTCTCCAGGCCTCTCAAGAACCAAAACACAAACTGCTCTCATTTGTTCATGTAGCACAGCTTAACATCCTAATTTACTTACTTGAACTCCTCGCAAGAATATATTTTCCCCCCACAAGACAGTTTCCTCCACAACAGGAGTTTTGGGACCATTTTTCATACCATTATTCCATGCACATTTGGGTGGGGTAATAGACAGAGTCTGGTCCTAGGGGTAGAGAGCCTCAGTACCTAAAAAGCCAAAAATAAGAGGGGCGCCTGGGTGGCGCAGTCGGTTAAGCATCTGACTTCAGCCAGGTCACGATCTCGCGGTCCGTGAGTTCGAGCCCCGCGTCAGGCTCTGGGCTGATGGCTGAGCCTGGAGCCTGTTTCCGATTCTGTGTCTCCCTCTCTCTCTGCCCCTCCTCCGTTCATGCTCTGTCTCTCTCTGTCCCAAAAATAAATAAACGTTGAAAAAAAAAAAAGCCAAAAATAAGAATCACCAAATGAATAAAAGAAAGGCACAAAAAGGGGAGACCAAAAACACATTTGATGATGACCTTCAACTATTTGAGCATGCTGCCAAAGATAGAAGTAGCAGAAGGGGAAGGGGTCAGCTCGAGGTGGTGGGAGTTGTGGAGAGATTAATCGGTGGAGAGGGGAAAGAAACATACTCTTCAGTACACAAAGTTCTGATGTTTTGATTATACAGAACCACACTCCTTTAGAGCTAGGTACATTTTGTTATTCAGGGTTTTTGAGATTTTAGAAAAGTGTTACAGTAGAGATGCCATGTGTTACAGAACACCTTGGGTCGGGTCTGAGCATGCCATAATCAAACACAACAGCAAGTGTATATACCATGAAGTGGGATGAAAACTCTAAATAACTTTATATCTGCTTAGGTCTGGTTGTTTTGCCAAATGAGTTACAGAAAAAAAAAATGTCTATTTTCAGTTTTGGTTTTTCTTTTCTTAGTTCTAAGCGCCATATTGTGGAAAACGCAAGATCTCTCTGTAGGCAATAAGTCATTCTTCACATGTTGTCTTTTGCCGAGACCACTCAGCAAGGCTGGTGATGATGAGGATATAGATGAGGACGTTCCCCAAGTGCTAAGCTTCTTTCTAGACGGTGTATTATATGCCAGTCATTTGCCACGCAGGCCAGCTTGGCTGCTGAGAAGCAGTCCCTTTAGCCTCACCCCCCACCCCCATTTTCTTTTTAGATCCAGCCTTTTGTAATTTACTGCAGGGAACATAGTCAGAATTTAAGATGATGAGCAAATGCTGTTCAGGACAATAATGTGAATTCAAATGGGAGAAAGAAATCACTACAGAGAGAGAAGAGCAGGGAAGGAAAGAGGGGACCAGACCAGGTTTACAAGATTATGGAGCCTTCCTGCAAAACACGGCTGACAGGCCATCCCAACTCTCTTTGGAATGCCTTGAATGATAACAAGCAAGCACATGGATCTAGAAGGAGTGACCCAGGGCCGTCATAGACTTGATTTGCCTTTTTCTTAAAGGGATCCTGATGCAGCTTTGATATAGTAAAGAATGTTCACTATTTGCATTCAGGATGCTTGTTTTTACCCAACCTCTTCTTCAGTATGACTTTAACGTGCATGATTCAATTTCATTAGTGACTATTACCATTTTGCCAGGGTCATTGTGATAGGAACATTTGATACAGATCAGCTCACATGTTGATAATAGCCCTGCCATACAGGTGCAAACATCCTTCTATAGTCTGTGAAGAAATGGAGGTTTGGACAGGTGAGCTAACGGACACACATTGTACAGCAAATGATCCGTTTTACTGGCATTAGACACAGCTCTGTTTGATGCTGAAGCTCATGCTGTTTCCATTGCTCAGCATACCTCTTGACTTGATTCACAAATTTTGTCATTGTCCACATGGATATTGATTTTACTGTATAGCGTAGACACCCACAAACCTGGCTTCAAATCTAAGCTTTACCATCACTAGTCATATGACCTTGGAATGGTAATGATAGTAGTGTTATTTCTTCACTATGTATCAAGCACTATTCTAAGAAATAGAGCATAGAAACTACAAGACACTTGAAACATCCCAAGAGAAGTTTTATGATAAAATAAATTTGAAAATCCTAAATATATTCCCCATTATAGATTCTCAGTGCACATTTGCATCATAATGATGCCGAGAAGTATTTGAGGCTGAAAAAGAATGGTTGAACCTTGGGAGTTTCCCAAATATTTTGACCACAGAACCTCTTTATCCAGAGTTTATCTGTTAACACCTGCAGGTTCCATGGAACAGACTTTGAGAAATGCTAAGACACACGCAAGTCCTTTGCATGCTTGTATAAAGCACATGATCGCCCATGGTATTTTGTGCAATTATAGTGTACATTTACAAGGAAAACAGAGTTTCTTTGGACCAGATAATGTGTCTGACACTATCTTCTCATTCTACCCATGGGTTTATACTTGGATGTATATTTTTTTTAAATAAAAAGCTTTTTTTTTGAGTTAGGTCTTACTATCCAATTCAGCCCCTCTAATCCTAGTCAAGGTTTCTCTCTTTTACAAAACCTTCCCAACACTCCCTCCTCACTTGCCCACAGG